TTCCTCCTGGTGGGCAGAATCACAGCCTCTGGGACCGGAATTGCCTGTGCTGCTCTTTTGCTGGCAAAGCTAGAAAACTTTTTTTTCCTATAAATAAATAAAGGTGGACTACAGCTCAGTTGGTGGAGTGCTTGCCTCGAATGCATAAGGCCCTGGGTTCAATCCCCAGCACCACAAAATAAATGATAATTAATTAATTATAGGCTGAGTACCCTTTATCTGAAATGCTTGGAACAAGAAGTGTTTCCGTCTGGGAGGACATTTTGAATTTTCTAGTTAGGTATTTTTAGTCTATATCTGCAAAATAAGGGCTATAAATACAAAAGAATTTTTAATATATAGATTATTTGCAAAGTTGTGTATTATCTGATCTTTGCTAGTGTTGACCTAACCAGTGAAGAAACAACTGATTCCACTAGTTCAAAAATCAACCCATCTGAAAATACTCAGCAAGAAGATGGCAGCATGTTCTCTCTCATTACGTGGAATATTGATGGATTGGATCTAAACAGTCTGCAGGAGAGGGCTCGTGGGGTGTGTTCCTACTTAACTTTGTAAGTATTACTTTTGTTGATCATTTACTGTGACAATGTGTCTTATATAGCTATGGAATGACAGCTCAGTGTTGTGGGCTTTAGAATTAGATTTAGGTTCACAGGAGAAACTTGTGAGGTGATTGCCTCCAAGAGTAGCATCTTGAGGTGGGACAGATAGGAAATATCAATTTTTGTTAGAAGCCTTCTAGAATTATTTTACACAGTGAACTTTGTGTGTAATTACTATAACTACTGTGAAATTAAAATTCAGAAGATCTGTTTTTACCCTGTACCAGTTTAGTGACTTGGACAAACCACTTAAGTTTTCTGGAGTTTAGTTTTCTCACTATTTTAAGAGAATCAACAGAGATAACATTGAAAGCATCTGTTAAAGGGCAAGATCATTATAGGCTCTCAATATGGTGGTTTCTACTTTCAGTCATTCAGTGTGTTTTGGTGGTAGATTTTTGTTTTTATGGTGCTAGGGATTATATCCAGGGCCTCACACAAGCCGGGCAAGTGCTCTGACTCAGAGCTACATCCCTGGCCTTTGTTCTTTTTAATTTGATCATAATAGTGCTGAGTGTTAAGTAACATAAGTCTTTCTCATTTTATCATGACTCAAAGGTCAGTATAAATGTTGGATATTAAGTGCCCTAGAGGGTAACAGTTTTACATTTCTTACACTGTGGAGTTTCTTTCATTGAGGTAGCTGAAAATGAATGGTATACCTAGTATTTACATTCAATTGATGTTTCTAATTAGGTACAGCCCAGATGTAATATTTCTACAGGAAGTTATTCCCCCATATTATAGCTATCTAAAGAAGAGAGCAAGGAGTTACAAAATTATTACAGGTAACACTTTTCCTGTTATTTGTCTTTTTCTTTGAAAAACAGATGAAAGAGCTGAGCAGGGTGGCACATCTTTATAATCATTTATAATCTCAGCAATTTGGGAGACTGAGAGAGGAGGATCATAAGTTTGAGGCCAGCCTCAGCATTTTAGCAAAGTCCTAAGCAACTTAGTGAGACCCTGTCTCAAAATTTAAAAATGAAAAGGGCTGGGGATGTGCCTTAGTGATTAAGCACCCTTGGTTCAATCCCCAGTACCTCCCCTTGCCCGCCCCCCCCCCAAAAAAAAAATAGATTAAAGAGATAGAGCAAAGTTTAAGTTAATCTAATTGAGTATAGAGAAGAAAAAGCACAAATATAAGTTTCAGGGAAAAAAGGTACAAGATTACTAAAAGAATTATAGGAGAATATTACATAATGTTTAGGGTTAACAAATGTGAAAAAGTATTTGAAATGTCTCATTTTTTTGAAAAATGTAATGTGCTACAATTTGAAACACTGGCTGTGTTTTTGGTGGAATTCAGTTAAATTGTGTGTGCTGGATTATCACCAGGGCCTGTCTGTGCTGAACATGTGCTCTGCCACTTGAGCTGCCCCCCTGAGCATAGTTATTAGTCATTTTAAGCATGATAGTTACATTGTGGTTATGCTTTTTCAGAGTCTTTATTCTTTTTTTTGTCCCCCTTGTCTTTTTGCCCTGAATAATTTGATTTTTTAAAATTTTCCATTTATTTTGTTTTTGCTAAGTATGTTTATCGTAGCACTTGGCCATATCTCCTGGTTTTGATATTCAGTGTTTTCTGTTTTTTTTTGTTGTTGTTGTTGTTTTTAATTTTTGCTTTTACTTAGTATGCAGTATTTAATTTTAGTTTATTCTTGAATCCATGACTGTAAAGGAAAAGAGTCTCTCAATCTCTGTTTGTTCCTCTTTGTGGGCTTCTTTTTGGCATGTTCTTGGGGGATTCTTCATGTCTCTCTTATTTTGGATTTCTTGTTTTCTGAATCTCATGCCTTGCTGTTCCTCAGTTTACTTCTTCATTTTTTGGGGGAGCCGATCCCTTGAATTACTTTTTAAGAAGTAGTACATTGGGCTGGGGATGTGGCTCAAGTGGTAGCGCGCTCGCCTAGCGTGCGTGCGGCCCGGGTTCGATCCTCAGCACCACATACAAAGATGTTGTGTCTGCCAAGAACTAAGAAAAAATAAATAAATATTAAAATTCTCTCTCTCTGTCCCCCCCCCCCACTCTCTTTAAAAAAAAAAAAAAAGAAGTAGTACATTGAGTAGTGAAGTTTTTAAATCCTAGAATATTGAAAATGCCTTTGTTCTAGCCTCATGTAGTTGGTTGATAATTTTAAATGGATGTAGATTTCTAGGTAGGAAAGTCATTTCCCCATGAATTTTGAAGATACTGCCTCAGTGTCTTCTAGTTTACAATGGAGGTGATGCAACTATCTTAACTTTTGGGATATATTTATTTTAATTTTATAGGCTTTCTCTTCACTGAACAGTTCTCTTATATACTTTCTTTCTTTCTTTTTTAGTTGTAAAAATGAACACTATACCTTTATTTTGTTTTTGTTTTTTATTGATTTTTATGTGGTGCCAAGGATCAAGCCCAGTGCCTCACACATGCTAGGCAAGTGCTCTCCCGCTGAGCTACAGCCCCAGCCCCTTATGTTTCTTCTTGATTAATGAATACTGCAGCTTATTTCTAAGAGCCTTCTTTCTTCTTGTTGTTGGTTTTAGGTTTTAATCTGTGTGCCTTCACTTCCTTCTCATCTCTTTTGATCATCTATTTTTGTGTCAGTCATGTTACCTTAGACCTGATACTTAAATGTCGAGGAATCCTTGGCTCTTGATACAGTTAAATGCAAGGTACTAAAGAACCGATTGCAACTTAATATTTCTGGGCAAGTTTGGGTAGTACACCTCACCAGAGGTGAGGGAAGCATTCGTTCATTTTAGAGCCAGTTGCTTGTTGAGTTGAGGGAGATCCCCGATTGTCTGTGTGTCAGTGTGTAGAAGCCTTTAACCTGAAACCATTCAGTTGTTTTAAGAAAAAATTCTTCTTAAGCCAGGATTGTGTGTAGCACATGCCTGTAGTTCCAGCTGAGGCAGGAGGATTGCTTAGGTCCAGGAATTCAAGATTAGGCTAGTCAACATAGCTGGACCTGAGACCTCCATCTCAAGAAAAACAAAATAAGAGGAATAAATTCCTTAGCTCTGTCTTCTGGTGTTGGTGGTGTGCTTCTATTGCCTTCTTGCTAGTAGGTGGTCAGTGGGAGGGAGCAGCTGAGGCACCCTCTCTTGAGTAGACACACCTTCACTTTATCCTTATTTCTAGTCCACACCTCACTCATTCTCCTCTCACCCCTCCCGTAACAGCTGGTGATCTCTAGTCTCCTATTAGAGTGGGGGCCACTGGCTGCCCAGAGCTGTGGAAGACCTTTGGGATGTGTTTAGCCCCGTAGTCAGTCCTTCTCCTGGCCTCCTGGCCTGAGCTCAGCACCTGTCTTCTGTAGTAGCTTTATGATCCAGTCCTGTTTCCACACTTTGCTGGAACAAGCCTGCTTGCTTCTCCTTGGTGGTCCTCTATCTGCACTCAACTGGTTCCCCGCTGTGCTGATAAACCATTTACCACTTGTTTCTGTGCTTTCTCTTTTCTGCTGTTGGAAACTTTAATTTGCTGTGCTTCTCTTCTTATACTACCTGAACTACATCCCCATCTCTGTTTATTTTTATTTTTTTTTTATATCTTCCATGCTTCTGATTAAACTTTGGGATGGGACAGGTAAACATAGGCTTGATTGGCCGTGAGCTATTTTGAAGAAGTTTAAAGATTTAGATCCATTTAAATATGTTACCTTTTGTTATAAAATCTTCAGTAAAGAAACTTGTATAAACTGAATTTTCCCCTCACACATTTGAAGGTCATGAAGAGGGATATTTCACAGCTATAATGTTGAAGAAATCAAGAGTGAAATTAAAAAGCCAAGAGATTATTCCTTTTCCAGGTACCAAAATGATGAGGAACCTTTTGTGTGTTCATGTAAGTCATTTAAATTTAAGTTTGTTTTTTTTTTTAAGAATTTTTAAAAGCAATCCCATGATGTTGTGTATTTTTAGAAAACATTTTTTAAACCACTACAGAAAAATTTGCTCCTTATATATATAGTCTTTTAAGTAGTCTTAAAAAACTTTGTTGAATTATAGATAGGCATGTAAAAATAGAATTCTTAACCTGTTAGATGTTTTCCTAAAAATATTTGAGAGTTTTCTAACATTGTACATTTACTTCCTAAAAACCGTTTATACTCAATGTAATTCTATTTGACTCTGTTGTTGTTTGTGAGGCTTATAAAAGTGATCAAATAGGTCTTGCTTTTATACAGTTGATAGATTAGTGAGGGAGAGATTGTGTATATAGTGAATAAAGAGGTATAAGTGGTATTATGTGTAAATTAAGAGAAAGGAGAAATGACTATTAGCCTTATTGTACAGGTGGGGAAATCACCATGTACAGACACTTAGGAGTTACAAGAGGTGTTTGTGTACAGGTATGGACAAGCCTTCTCTGCATTTGGGTGCAGAGGCATGAAGTCAGTATCGTACAGGAGGTTGACAAGTAAGCATGGTCCAGATTATAGAAGGGCATGAATCCTATATGAAAGAATTATACTTGGTTCTGCAAACTTTAATATCAGATCCTATGTTGTTAATATCTTAAATGCAAAAGGTAAATGGTTCTCAGTCAATTAAGTGACTTTTTATTTATTTTTCAGTACTAGGGATCAAACCAGGAGTGCTGTATCGTTGAGCAATATCCTCAGCACACCAACACACACACACACCCTTCTCCCCACTGCCCCTAATTTTGAGACAGGGTGTATCTAAGTTTCCCAGGCTGGCCTTGAATTTGTGATCCTCCTGTCTTAGCCTCCTAAATTACTGGAATTATATAGGTGTGCACCACTACACCCAGCTTGAGTGTCATTTTTTGGGTACCTGTGTGCCAGGTCCTAAATAATATAACAATAAATAAGAACCATTTGTGCTTGAAAATAATTCACAGCTTTGGAGAGAAATTTCTGTCTTAATTTAGTCTGGAGGCTTTAACAGAAGCCTGTGCAGTGTGCAGTAGGCATCTAGAGGAGAGAACTAATGATGGTGGCCTGGAGGCCGTGGGGAAGTGCAGGTAGCATGTGCTTGCTACACAGCCTTCTTGGTGCCAGGGTTAGTACTGAATACTCCTTTAATCAAGAGGAGTAGTAAAATATTTACCAGTTGATTGAATAGTGTGCAATTTTGTTACCATCGTTCAGCATTAGTGATCATTGGTCATTTTAATAATTATGCATCTTGTTGCAGGTGAGTTTGTCTGAAAATGACCTTTACCTTATGACTTCCCATTTGGAGAGCACCAGAGGACATGCCAAGGAACGAATGAGTCAGTTACAAATAGTATTAAAGAAAATGCAAGAGGCTCCAGAGTCAGCCACGGTTATATTTGCAGGAGATACAAACTTACGGGATCAGGAAGTGAGTAACCAGTCAGTCCAGTGTCTGTGAAGAAGTTATTGCTATGGAAGCTAATTTAGGTTCCTTTGATCAAAGCGGTTGAAACTAGGACCTTTGATCACTCAAAGTGTATACATAACCTTGTAAATGCAAGGCAGAAAATACTTTTTTAGCCTTTGCTGAATATATACATACCTAGGGGTAGGAGAGACTCTTATTAGCGAAAAAAAAATGTAGCATGTGAAATAGATAACATGAAACAAATGTATATATGGGATTTAATAAGAGGCATATAGAGAAAATGTTTAGAGGAATTTAGAAAAGGTTAAGTTTATTTGCATCATTCCTACTGAAAAGTTTGACCATATTACTTAACCCTCTGTCTTCTGAAATTCTTTTTTTATTTTATTTATGTATCCAGTGGTTCTGGGAATTGAATCCAGGGCCTCACACATGGAAGGCAAGTGCTCTACCACTGAGCTACATCCCCATCCCCCCAATTTTGTCAAGTTTTATTCTGCATACTTAGAAATTTGAGATTTTAAAACCATGAAAGATATTCAGTCACACTAATAATTAACAAAATGTAATGGTATATTTCTAGACAAAAATCTTTATATTGATATGTCATAATAATTATCAATATATTTACTCCCTTTTCCTGCCGTCACTGTGTCCAGGACTAAAAGTTTCTGTCCCCTCAGTTTAGTTGAGATACATAGGGATTTTTTAGGACCTCAAAAAATTAAATGTAGAATTATTATATGATCTCTGGGGCTGGGATTGTGGCTCAGTGATAGAGCACTTGCCTTGCACATGTGAGGCACTGGGTTCAATCCTCAGCATCTCATATAACTAAATAAAGGTATTGTGTCCATCTACAACTAAAAAATAAAAACTTAAACAACAACAACAAAAAGAATTATTATCTGGTCTAGAATTCTGCTTCTAGATATTCACCAAGAAGAAGTGAAAGGTAAGGACTTATACAGATATTTGTATGCCCTTGTTCACAGCAGTGTTATTCACAGTCCCTAAAAGGTACAAGCAGGGCTGGGGTTGTGGCTTAGTGGTAGAGCGCTCGCCTAGCACAGGCAAGGCCTTGGGTTCATTCCCCAGCACCACATAAAGATAAATAATAAAGATGTTGTGTCCACCTACAACTAAAAAATAAATACTAAAAAAAAAGTACAAGCAACCCAAGTGTAATTGTATGTAATATATACATATAGTGTAATATTATTGAGGCTTAAAAAGGAAGGAAATTTTAGCTAATGGTGGTGGTTCACACTTGTAATCTCAGTGACTCAGGAGGCTGAGGCAGGAGGTTGCAAATTCAAGGCCAGCCTTGGCAACTTGGTAAGATCCTATCTCAGAAAAGGATAGGGGTGCTTCAGATATAACTCGGTGGTAGCTCAGATTCAATCCCCAGTGCCACAAAAATAAAATTAAAAAAAAAAAAAAGTTTGACACATGCCACACGCTAATAAATCTTAAATTATTCTAACTGAATGAAGCCAATCCACGCAGTTCAAAATATTATGCTATTTCTCTTACATGAAAAACAGTAGAATAACAACTGCCAAGGACTGGGAGGACACAGAAATGGTGAATTGGTGTTATTAATGGATATAAAGTTTCATACAGAGGAGAGGGTCTAGAGATGGGTGGTGGTGATGGTTGCACAACAGTGTGAATATACTTAATATCTTAATCTTAAAAATGGCTAGAGTGATAAACTTTGTGTAGTACAGATTCTACTATAAACAGATACAACTTTATTTTGTGTTTGTTTATTTGGTGCTGGGAACTGAACCCAGGGCCTCAAACATGCAAACATATACTCTATTACTGAGCTATGCCCAGGCCACAAAAAATTTTTAAATCCTGGATTTGAATGGGAGAAAGCTCAATTTTGTTAGTACACTTAAAATATAAATGCTCTATGTCTAAATTTGTAGTGTAGTAGTTTTTTCCTTCTTCTCATGTAAGTTCAGTTTTCAAAAACTAACAGCAATAACTAAAGCCTTAGTGTTCAGCCTTCTGTGTTTTATCTGACACCCAGAATTAGTATTCATGGCAGAAGAGAAGGGACAAATTTTGAACCTCTGTAGCTCTCTCAATATTTATATATTACCTATGTGTTACCCTGTAGCATTATGCTTCTTATTATGTTTCTAGTTATATCACATTAAGCATTAACAAATCATTTTTGGCATTCTGGTTTAAAATGTTACACATAGATATGATAATAGCAAACATTTTTTTAAATAAAAAAAAAAAACAGAGTGAATCATCATCCTTTTTTTTTTTTTCTTCTTCTTCTTTTCAGGTCACTAAATGTGGTGGGTTACCTGACAACATCTTGGATGTGTGGGAGTTTTTGGGCAAACCTAAGCATTGCCAGTACACTTGGGACACACAGATGAACTCCAATCTTGGAATATCTGCCGCTTGTAAGCTTCGTTTTGATCGGATATTTTTCAGAGCAGCAGCAGAAGAGGGCCACATTATTCCCCGAAGTTTGGACCTCCTTGGGTTGGAGAAACTGGACTGTGGTAGATTTCCTAGTGATCACTGGGGTCTTCTATGCAACTTAGATGTGATATTGTGAAATGTTTTCACATGTGAGTTTAAATGTTTTGAGTAGACTTCTGAACTTTTTGCAGGTATCGTTTCTACCTATCTGGAAAGGTAGGTTTCATATAGAGGAATTAATATACTGGAAAATTGTTTCATAAAAAAAAGATTTTATAGATTATGTTCTCAGAATTCTGAGTTAAATATTAATGTCTGAGGCTGGGGATATAGCTCAATTGGTAGAGTGCTTGTCTTGCATGCATGAGGTCCTGGGTTCAATCCCTAGCACCACACACACACACACAGTAATAATAATAATAATAATAATGTATGTTTAATGTAAACATGCCTGTGTTCAGAATGTGAGGTCATTTAGTGAAAGGGCATAAATTCTGTGGGAGCTCTGTCAGTGTTCATAGCTTCCAGATGGATTCCCACCAGGGGCCACCTTGTCTCGGGACTAACCTTTATAGTGTTTTTCAATCAGGCACCAAAATAGTAATAATTTTTAAAAGTCACTGAAAGAAAAAACAGATTACTTAGTTCCTGGACCTGGATCTCTTATCATATTTCACAAGTTTAGATAATCTCAAAAGAAAAAGCCACACTCCTCTGTTGTTAGTGACAGCTGTCCTGCATCGAACTTAAATAGTACATAATTTGTAAGCTATAAATGAAGTCTTATGATTTAAAATTTCTTAACTTTTTTCTGATTAATGGTGTAGGTATGTTGCTAACAAAGGCAAAATTAGTCTTGATAATGATTAAAATCAGATTTATAACAGCATGGATCCTTTTTCCTAAGAGAAAAATAAATACATAAAGAGAAATAACCTTTTAGTTTTGCTACTTATTGTAAAATAGCTCTATCTTATAAGTGAATTAAGAGTATTTTTTTCTTTCTTTTTTTTTTAAGTTTAAAATGTGCTTTAAAGTTTGTCTGTGTATGTATGTAGGGGGGTGACCCCAAGAGAAATATACTGTAAATAAAGAATTTTGTGTTTATAGTTTAGTATGTTTCTGTGTTCCCTATTTCTGCCTCCACTGCTGTTACTTCGACCTTTTATGAAAGAAAACAGCTTCCTTTGTTTCCTCCCCCTCAAGGAATCATCAAGAATAATTTTCTTTCTTAGAACATAAAAATGCCGTGGGAAAAACTAGAATGAGAAGTTACAGGACCTATTTTCATCAGTGGTGCCAAAGTTAACTGAAACACCTATTTGATTGATGTGATGTTCCCTTTGCAATGACTCTGGAAAGGAGTTTTACATGTTAATCACAAGTGAAAGTTGGTGTGTAATATTTTAGTAGCATATATTATGGAGTTAATGGTTCATTTCTGTGGGAAAAAAGAATGGATCTGGGATAAATTTCTTATTCACTTGATGAAATTAATTTAGAAGCATATCACAACTTTTTTTAAAATGGTAAAATGTGCTGTGTGGTATATTAAAGGATGATCAGATTGTTTTAAAACTCTGCAAGTATCATTTTTTTTACATAACACACGAATCCGCGTGAAGTACCTGTTTGCTGCTCATAATGAACAAATCTAAAAAAGAAGCTGTAGTGAAGTGAGTAGGAATAAGCAAATCACTCATTTTTAATCTTTTTAATTGAGACAGTATATCTTGAAGGATAGCTGGTGGTAAATGGATGCATGTATCAATGTGTAGTAAATCAAACCATTAACCGTCCCATCTCTTCAGTTATTTGAGTATCAGAGTTTCCATCCGCCGCCCGAAAGCTGCAAGTCGTCAGCTTGCACCGTGACCCAGTGGGTCCCCAGAGGCTGGGCTGGAGAGAGGGGCAGTTTCCAGGCCTTTGACCCTGGTGCTGGGCCCCAGCCTCTGAAGGCACGTGGCAGCTGTTCTTCAGGAAGGAGCCGCGGTGGGGAGGGAAGGAGGCGGGAAGCAGGGGCCACTCTGCACCGCTGGGTCCCCTGCGCTGTGGGATGCACCTCCTGGGCGGGCAGGGACTCTGCTGCTGCGCAGGCGCCAGCGTCGMCGTGGCAACCGCGAGGCAGCGGAGCCTGCATCTGTCACCGCTGGTGCGACCACCGAGCAGCGCTTATCCCTGCTCGGAGGTACCTTGACAGGTGCGAGCCGGGCTGCCGGGGTGTGTCTGGGGCCGGGAAAGGAGCAGGTAGGGCGCGACCCAGCAGGGAGGTACCTTGACAGGTGCGAGCCGGGCTGCCGGGGTGTGTCTGGGGCCGGGAGAGGAGCAGGTAAGGCGCGACCCAGGCTCCGGCAGGCGGAGCGGAGCTCAGAGTTGGGGGCAGCCACGCCAGWTGGTACCCTTCTTCCCAGCCTGCGGGTGGAGGCGCGGGGAGGGCGGCCAGCCCCAGGCGCCCAGGGTTGGGGAGATGGCTTCTTCCAGACACCGAAAGAAGGCGTTTCCGGGGTCGCTGCGATGACTGGCTGTTTCTCAGGGTGGAGTCGGGAAACTGAGTGTTTTTCCCAACCTCGAAAATTGCATTTCTTGGATTTGAAGTATCATTGTCTTTAAACTTCGTTCAATGCTATTTATGCGGTATTTGCTCTCATTTACTAAATGCATGGTCATTATTCCATATTGTGATTTGAAGCTTAAACCCTGCTGAAGACTGTCTCTCCTACTCTTTGAATTCCCTGCAAAGAATGTAAAAAAATTAATCAGCACAAACCTGAAATTATGAATCATCATTCTTGAGATCATTTGTTTTCCTATAGGGGGAGAGGAAAGAATATTATATCCATGCACATTTTTATTGCTGGTTTGCTCATCTAAACATTCTTGTTTGTGATTGAAATGTTAGTGTTTTTCCCAGGGCTTGAATAGAAAAGTTGGATTTTTTCATGTTCCCCCTTTCCCCGCCCCTTTTCCTGCTGTCCTCCCTCCCCTCCTGGTTCTCCTTCCTCTACTAGATTGCCTTTTGCTCAGCTATTTATTTATACTTAATTGGTTCCTTTTACTTATAAAATAAAGGGGGAATTCCCTGTGGCACTAAATGCACAGAAGGTGGTGTTTTATGAATTCATTCTGCATTGCCCCCCCTTCATCCCTCTAACCTGCCTCTCAATCTCCTTCCACATTACTGATATTTCCCTTGATCTTTATAATATCCTATCTTTCCCTCCCACTTTCCTTTATTTTTCTCTAGCTTATGCATTTGAGAGAAAAAAAAATTTGACCCTTGAGTTTCTGAGTTTGGCTTATTTGACTTAGCATGATTTTCTCCATTTCCATCCATTTACTGGTAAATGCCATAATTTCATTCTTTATGGCTGAGTAGAACTCTATTGTATATATAAACACCAAGGTTTCTTAATCCATTCACTTATCGATGGGCACCTGGGTTGATTCCGTAACTTAGCTACTGTAAATTGTGGTGCTATAAACATTGAGGTGGCTTTATCACTATAGGATGCAGTTTTAGATCTTTGGGGAAAATACCATGGAGTGGGAGAGCTAGGTCATATGGTGGTTCCATCCCTAGCTTTTTGAGGACTCTTCACGCTGCTTTCCAGAATGGTTATACTAATCTGCAGTCCCACCAACAATGTACAAGTGTACCTTTTCCCCCAGAACCTCGCCAATGTGTATTATTACTTTTCTTGATCATTGTCATTCTGATTAGAATGAGATCTTAGTGTAGGTTTTTTTAAAAAATTTCCCTAATTATAAGAGATGTTGAACTTTTTTCATATATTTGTTGGCCATTTATGTTTATTTTTTTGAGAAGTTTTTGTTTAGTTCTTTTGCCCATTTATTGATTGAGTTATTCATTTAATTATTTGTGGGAGGTTAAGTTTGTTGAGACCTTTATATATTCTGGATATTAATCCCTAGGGGAGGAATAGTTGGCCAGGATCCCCCCAATCTATAAGCCCCCTCTTCATGCTCTTGATTATTCTTTGCTGTGCAGAGCTCATTAGTTTGATGGCATCCCACTTATTGATACTCAGTTCTATTTCTTGTGTTTGGTGGTGATGTTTTTGATGATGATGATGATGATAATAAAGAAAATTGTCAACAACCCCCCAAGAAAACATGGATTTTTCGAAGTGAATGTCAATGTTTATTTCTTTACTTCTGAAAAGCATGCTCACTGTTCAAATGCTTCAATTTGTTTATTAAAAGACCACAGTCAGTCATGGATACTACTGAAGTTATGCCAAATGTGAAATTTAATTTTGTGCTTATTATTTTACCTTACTTCTAATGCCAATGAGGAAAGGTGGAGGTATCAATTCAGTTATAGACTTCAGAGTCATAGAGAAAGCCAATTCCCCTGTAAATTGAAAAAAAAAAATGTAAACGTATGAAGACATTTTAGAACAACTCATCACAACTTTACATCAAGTAAAATGCAGAGGTAGAGCCTTAACTTCCCTAGAATATCAAAAATAAGACACATTCACACTCAACACACTCACAGACATACATATATCCCACATATACATATCAAAATATATATATTGGTATTGGAGGTTGAACCCCAGCAGTGCTGTATACTGAGCCATGTCTCCAGCCCTTTCTATTTTTTGAGACAAGCTGTCTCCAGGTTGCCCAGGCTGGCCTCAAACTTGTGATCCTCCTGCCTCAGCCTCTTGAGTAACTGTGATCACAGGTATGTGCCACAGCACATGATAATATCTTTGTGTATTAAAAATAGTCAAGAGAAACTTCAGTAAGTTATTGATATATAAAAGAATGGGCTTTCTGTTACATTTTCTTTTGACTTCATTTTTCCCCCTGGTCAAACAGAATAATTCTAAGTCAATATGCAGAACCAGGTGTGTCCTTTTCTGGGGAAGAATGATGCAGATGCCAGATGAGAGAGATGGCCTATGTTCTTCTGTGGCTCTGTTGCTTGTTGCAGTGTCATAGGAAATTCCATAACTTCTCTCAGCCTCCATTTCCTCATCTATAAAACAGAGAAAATAATAAGATCTACTCAGTAGAATTCCTGTGAGAATTGAGTAAAATAGGGTGCAATGGCACATAGTTAGCCTGGGCAGTGTAGAAGAATCACTCCACCCCAGTCTAAAAAAAAAAAAAAAAAAAGAATATATGTTAGAGCTCTAGTTGCCTGGCATTCAGTCATGCAGTAACATTTTACTGAAAAGGTTGTAATTTTTAAGATAGGTTTTTGTTTTTCAGAAAATATTTTCTATATCTTCAAAATAATTTAGCACTAAAAAATTATTTTGATTAATTTAAAATATATTTTGAAAGTCAAATCATAAGAAAATACATAAAATTTCACTTTTAAGATCTTTTGACAATCATGATAGTCATAAAGGCATGGCAATTTGACATCCAGGTAAGAGCTTTGCTTGGAATAATGGGGAGATTATTATTCTATTTGTTTTCTTTTTAATCTGTGGATTCAATGACAAAAAATTATCTTCTCATTTATTTCTATTAAGCAATGATTTTGATTGAGCCAAAATAAAATAACGTCTGGTTTTGTATTATCTTGCAGTCTTTTAAATGTTTATTTTTTAGTTGTACTTGGACACAATATCTTTATTTATTTATATGTAGTGCTGAGGATCCAACCTAGGGCCTCACATGTGCTAGGTGAGCGCCCTACCACTAAGCCACCACCTCAGCTCCCTATCTTGCAGTCTTTTGACAGTATGTGAGTTTCAGAGTAAGGCTTTAGATGGTAGAGGTTGAATGTTGGAGTTTTAGGTCTGTTTCCTTTCAGATAATATTGTAGAGCTATTTTTCCTGTTGGAGCGTTTCAGTACTTTCATCTCAGTGGTCATTCTTTTCCGTAAGTTCAAAAGAGCAAGGACTTTATACAAAGATAAAAAATTGTCCTCTATGTAATAAGAATTGTAATACATTCCGCTGTTGTGTTTTCAAAAAAAATAAAATCAATAAAAAAATAAAAAGCAAGGGATTTCAGTATAACCTGTTTAATTTAGCAGTGTAGCTAGAATAAGAGGGTAACTTAGACTTCAAGACAAATTTTCAAAATGATTGTAATTCCATGCTATAAAGTGCCAGAATAGTAAGTATTAAGGGGACGGAGTTGTGGCTCAGTGGCAGAGTGCTTGCCTAGCATGTATAAAGCACTGGGTTTGATCCCCCTATCACATAAAAATAAATAAATAAAATAAATAAAGGTATTGTGTCGATTTACAACTAAAAAAATATTCTTAAAAATAATAATAAGTATTAAGGGCAAATGAACTCCAGTGTTGCCACCACAAATTTTAAGCATTAGAGTCTACTATTGCCGCAAACTGCCCGGCCCCGGGCGGGCTGAGTCCCCGCTCCTGCTGCCGAGCACTGCCTGCGGCACCCCTGCTGAGCGATYCCCTGCTGAGCTGTCAGTGCACGCGGGCTTGCAATCTTGCAACAAGCCCGGTTGGGCACAAAAACACAAGCCAGTCAAACTGAGACAAAGTTTTATTTAGAGAGAGGCCGTGTGCGTCCCCTAACAGGTGGGTCCGC